ACAGTTATCATTGTTCATTTTAAAATACAATTAAATGAGGAATATATAAAAAGCAATTCAAAGTAATAAACAGTTTGTGTGGTCTACTCCTCACTTACTTTATTTTCTGTGATAAATTCCATTTTCTGATGCCTTTTCTTTGCAAAAATACATTTACATGAGCAGAATATATTAATTAGCTATAGTATGCTCAAACAATATTTAACACTGAAAACATTCACCTATTAGGAAGACTCTCCCATCATCTAAGGAACTATGTTTAATTCTGGCAGAATATGCAAATCTGAGAAAAAAGCCGACATATTTATTTTGTAGAAAAATACTTTTATTTGTGCAATATATGTGCAATTAGACAAATACACAGAGACAGGAAAATAAGTAACAAGGTAGATATGCAGTTATACAATGCAATTGGGCAATTGGTCATTGTCTGTAATATTTTAGAGAAGCTGTAAAGAGTCATTAGCAACATGTACTTTTCTTTAGTTATTTATATTACATTTTTTAAAACTTACCAATAAAAATATCAACAGTGAAAAATATCTATTTGTAGATATTGTACAGTGAAATATATATGTATATATATAGGGTGTGTGTCTGTGTATGTATGTATGTATGCTTATATGTGTGTTCATGTGTGTTAAAGAAAATTAATAGAAAAAATGATCCAAATCATTTATATAAATAACAATATAAATACAAATAATGAAAAGTCTATTCAATCTTTAAATCTTTTAAAGTGTATCATTAGCAACATATTGCATTATTTTTTTGTTTTTAGGACACACAAACTTTTCAAAAATAAATAACAGATTCACATCCTGGAGCCATTCCTCAAAATCAAGAAGGTAACTTTGTTCCTAATTATATAGAATTAGCCTTTTTCCTTTGCCATAGGCTTACAAATCTCTTTATGAGGTGACAGTTTTCAACTTTTGGAAACATTTCAACATCACATTAAAATCCTTAATTGTAATATTTCTTTCCCAACTTGTACCAAAATTGTAGTATAATGAGCTTATCAACATCATAACATATAGATTAAAAGAATCACATTTTTATAACACCAGCATAAAAAATACATAATGTCAACATCTAGTTCAAGGGTTTCCCCCAGTTTCATAGATTGCAGTTGCTCTTTAATTTCTTGTAATTGTCAGTCAATTTATGTTTTTTTCCCCCTTTCTTTTTTGATAAATCTCTTTATTTTGCTATTTCCCAGAAAAGCGATCATTTGCTGTTCAGTTATAGGAGCACCTCCTTAACTTTTCTGAGAATAGCAATTATAAAACTATGAGCTGTCTTGTTAAGCAACTATTTTTCATTGGCCTGAATTCCAGATATAAAAATTTCCATCTTTCTCTCCTGATTTGTGATTAATGCATTTCATAGCCTTTCCAATGGTTTGCGCATAGAAGTCAGAGTTTCACTGTTGCTAATATTAATGTTAATAAGATTTGTGTGGGGGTTTCTAGCAAATAACAAAATTTCACCTCTCCTAAATTGGTTGGCATATTTGGCAGTTGAAGTCTAAAATAACTGAGGGCATTTTGCTATAATTTTTCCATTACTATTTAATTTGAAAAGTAACATAAATTGCTTGTGATCTGCTTTCAGGTATGAAGTGTTGAAATCAAAAGACTATGAATGTGTTCAGATAGTTTGTAAGTATCTTTCACTAGACATAGTGAAAGAGCTGCAATATGATTTGGTACTAAATATTATTTTAATTTGTTAAGGTTTATATACTTAATATGTTAAGGTTTACATGGCAGGAAAAAGAATGACTTATTACCACTTACAAGACCCCTCTGAAGCCAAGAGGTAAACCATTGCTTTTGTATTTTCTTGTGTTCTATATACTTGCATCTCAACTAGTAACTCTTGCATCTCAGCTTTTCTTGACACCTATCAGATATATGTCCACTTTAGACAACAATACAGTTCTTGTTGATTTTGAAGAGTACAACCTTTGCAGACGCCAAAATTGAATTTCTGAAGAATGGAATTGCATGATTTAGAGCAGAAATATGAGCTCAAAACAAAATAAAATTAGGGCAGAATAAAATACAACAGAACTGAAACAATGTATCCTAAAACTAATACAAAACTTGAGTATAGAAGACAAAACAAATTTTAAAAATTGTATATATAATTTGCAGAAATGGCAAACAAACTAGTCTGGTCATATGGAAAAAGCAACATTTTGCTGAAAGAAGAACAAATGAGATGAAGATTTACAGGTTTGAAGGTTAATAAAGATGTAGATTAAATGAAGGGCAGAAGGAATTTAGATAATATCTGACAGGGAGGAAGGAATACTCAATTATAATTATCTGTTGAAAATAAGGTAGCAAATCAGAACATTTCTTCTATTAAATGTTTTTTCCTTCTGTTTTTGTTTCTTGTACGTCTTTCCTTCTATCATTTTTAAAATTTTGATTTGATCTTTATTTTTTGAAAAACTTCTAATAAAAGTAAATAAAAATGTGGATATGCATTTGAAATTTGAAATATTTTTAATAATTGGTACTGCTATTGGTAATAGTTTAATTTTTGAAAGAAAAGACAAGATACAGAAAATGGCTGATTCCAATTTGAATGGGATGGGGACTCTAAATTGATTAACTCCCTATTCCTTATTGTACAATTATTGCAATAATATGAAAAAGACAGGAAAAAGCAATGTCAGGAAAAGGGCAGAGATAATGTCTGCCTCTTTTGTCTTGGCAGTGATGATGTCAGGAAAAAGACAGAGATAAGAATGTCTCTTTTGTCTTGATAGTGATGAGACAGTTGCCTAAAACCAGCTTTTTAAAAAGTGCTATTAAAGTGACAGATTATATGTTATTTGTAGCAATTTCTTATCCAATTCAGCCACAGAAAGAATAGTCCATATTATATTTGTGTGTGTGTGCTTGCTACGTATAAATCTCTTCCCAGACTTTTGTGGAATTTAAATTTAAGGACATAGTTTGGAAATGTAATGGTCTGCTGTTGAGTCTAAGACCTGCAAAAGAATATCTTCTTAAACTGAGGATACCAAAGGTAGAACCTTGAGCATTGGAACAACATTATGTCTTTGATAGTATTCCATTCCAAGTCATTGGGAAATTCTTTATTCAAGGATTTAATTTAATTCCTCTAGATAGAATTAGATAGATAGACAATATGAGGTAACATATTTATCATTTATTTGCCAGTAGCAAAATTTAACAAAATAATTATCTGGAACCTGACAGTTCTTTAAAAACAATTGTATCATAAACTGTGCTCTAATAGAGATTGACAGATTTGAGTTTTAGATGTGTGGCAAGAGAGCCCCATGGAACACTTGGAATTTCTCTTGACATATTCTGGACAATTTCCAGTTGCACAAATACATTCTAATTCCATTCCAAAAACTCCTTCCAAAACAGAAGCTGTGGAATTTTATTTCCCTGGAATATTTTGGTTGCAGGAGCAATTTAACTCCTGATCTCCACTAAAATAGAAAAAACTTTAGAATATACCCAATGACTTAAAACTGGATTCAAGTTTACCTTCCAAATTAATGACTTCTAGAAAGGGACACACAAATACTGTATTTAAGGAACAGGCAATGCTGGATATTAATTAACTGACAATGTATGTTTGGTTCTGCTGTGATTAAAAACCATAACTGTGGCTTGCTTGTAGTTAATCCTCAGCTTTTTCCTCTCATAATAATCAGCCAGTCTAGCCCACAATTTTCTAAGTCTAATCTCAACATATATCATGATATAAACACATATATTATCAACCTATATTAAACTGAGTGCTCTGTACCTATTAAGCAAGGAGACAAAGTGATTTTCATTCCATGGCTGAAACATTATAACTGATATGCAAATTAAATGTGATGGGAGCAAATATATAGACCCGTTTGACTGATCCATTTATTAAAATAGGGTTAGATAAGGATCCCCAGTTGGCTAACTCATATCCTCGTAGTATGGTAAGAAAGCAATTCAATCAATACCCTGATGTGTCTAATATTTGTACTGTTTGTTTTCTCAAGCTATTCCCATAGTTTACACCTAAGTCTGATTTCCTCTGGAGTTTAAAAACAGCAGACTCAGTTGTCAATAAATAATTCCACTTTAATGGCAAAGTAATAATTTAGACAGATACAGTGTGCACACCTGCAAAAAATATATGCAAGCTGGTTTACAAGCTAGAAGAACAATAAATCAATATAAAATACATCATCCAGTTAAGTCTGATGACACCAAATACTTATTATTAGGGCTTTACAAAGACTACAAAACTTTTCAGATGATTTATCTCACTGTTTCTGTCTATTTACACAATATGTTACATTAAAAATGTACAAAATATAAAATGTATACAGACAAATGCTTCACAAACAAATTTGTTAAAGTTGTAAACTAGGTGGATTCACTGAAATGTATTGCAGGGAAAATTGTATTATGTAGTATATACATACAGGATGTGTGTATGTGTATTGAAAATGGCAGGAGTTCCTGGGCTTAGATGTTGTCTAAGACTACATCAATCTTAAGGAGCAGCTTTTGTTTTAGTCATTTTCCAGAGTGGCATGCTGCTTAACAGTATGAGACAGTCAGCTAATATTTGCTTCTGGAAATCAATCTGAGTATATTTTTTGTGCATAAAAGCAGACTTTCTTATTAGGACAATAGCACCATGCAGGAAACCTGCAGCTGATGCAATAAGGAAAATTGCATTGATTTTTTTGATATTTGTTCTGCAAAATATATTGTTGCAGGAATTAGTAGCACCACTTACGTGTCCTGAAGTTATCCCTTAGCTATGTGTATCCTGAAAGTATTTCATTGGTCATGTCCTATGCTTATGAGTAGACGTGCTCCACATGAGCCCCTTCAAGATAAGGGTTGAAGTATGTGCCTATAGAAATGCTATAGCCCTTAGATATTTTATGTTAATTTTAACCAATATCTCCAATTACTCTGATTGGGTTTTCAGTATATTCCGTTCATTGTAGCAAGGATAGCTCAGGACTTGTGATGGCAGTTCTAAATACAAGACAAACATATCTGGTTTTATCTGTCTTTTTAAAAAACAGATAGTACTAATTGCCCTCTTGCTTTGTTTACAACATATGGGTATTCTCTGTAAATGAAATATTTCTTCACATTAATAGAATAAAGTATAATTTTGTATTTTTGCTGCTGTTACTGTTTTGTTTGCTTTCATTTGTGCAACTCTTTTTTATTTTCAGTATTTACAATACCCTCCCAATAAACTGTGCAAAATCACTCCCCACTTTTCCCTCTTACAGTAAAAACATTTTGTCTTGCACAGTGAATAGCACTGTGTCAGTGTTTTTTTAATGCTGACTTTCTTCATTTACAACAATTGCAATTAAAATAGCATGCTCCAAATGGGGGAAGGAAGAGAAGGGACAAAAACCAAGAACGATTTGTGCTCATGCTAACTCAGGTGCACACCCAGCTCTGCTGGATAAACTGTCACACATCCCTGTTTCTGTCATAATTAAGTTTTTTTCCCAATGGGATAGAAATAACTATGTTGGACTTTTTTGTTTTGTTTTCATTCATAGTTAACTAGGAGTAGTTTCTGGGTCATCTGAATGGTTTAGGATGGTAGGTCATTGATTCACGGAAGATTAAAAATAATATATCTATATCTATATTAATAATTCATCCTTCTAGCCACCTAATTAAAAAAAATCTTGATATATAAACACAAGGCTACTGTGTTCACTGATGCTCTCTCATTAGTAAAATGAAGAAAGGAAACAGTATAAATAACCAATGGTTTAAACAAATTAAACCAAGTGTAACATTGTCTAGAAATTGGTTTTAAGGCAGTGAGACAGCACCATAGGAAATGATCTCTTTTTTCCCCACCCAAAAGACTCAAAACAAAGTCCTAACCAAAACCTTTAGTCAGCATCAGAATTGCCTAACAACAACAGCAACAACCTTAAGAGGTGGGCAGGTGTTTAAAAAATACCACTGTGGTTAAAAACAATTTGGATATCAAAACGGGTGACTTTTTTTCAATACACACACACACACACACACACACACATGCACAAACAGAAAACTTAGTGAACCACATCACTGCAAATATGGCAGTTTAGTATCAAATTGGCACTTATCCAGCATATCACAGTATTGTTTGTATAAGATAATTGCACAATACTGTTTTGTGCTTATTGAGTCTATACGCCCTCTCATTCTTTTTATTTTATTTTGTGTCCATCTCATTTTGGAAAGGACAGCAGAATATAATCTGGAATATGTGCTGTGAGGCACCACAGAGGTTAGAGGAGGAGGAGGAGGAGGAGGAGCAAGAGAACTATGAATGCAGCACCTCCAAGTATATTGAAGTATCACATAAAATGCTTCCACTGTAAACTTTCAAGACAGGGATAGAAAATAAAAGACTCTAAGTGGATTCCAGTTTGACTACTATGTGTGCAATCTGCTTCATAGCATCCCTGTTAAAGGCTCTTTCCACTTGAAACTGAACAAATCCAACTTTCATTTCTGATTTGCTTTAGTGCTTAAATCAGGTGCCTCTATATATGACACAGCACACACATGCTATTTCAGCCCAAATACACACCACCTCAGTAGCCCTTAACATGGGTATAGGTTTATCAGCATCTTCTAACCAAAGTCATGCCCCCTTTAGAGCGTTGATTCAAGTGAAGGATCCAGCATATCATCATGGTGGCTGGCAGTATCACTGTCACAGCTCTGGGCACTTGAGTAAGTGGCAGCTTCTTTGAGCCTCAATAGCATGTTCATCTGAGAAAGAAATATAGTACAACTGAGTTATTGGTACAAGAGTTAAGATGATTTAGAATAATAACAATCCAGTCCATTTTACTGTTCTTAGTTAGTCCTTAGTTAGAGCCAGTTTTAGAAAACATTTGTGGAAAATGTTACATAGCTTTATATATGAGCTTTCTCAACCCTTTGAATACTTGGTTCTGATTATCCACTGTTATGAAAAATTCCTGCCTTAAACTCTTTTAAAGCTCATCGTGCACATTCTTGAATACATGTTTCACAAATCTTTTGGTGCTATTTTGCATGGAGGCAAAGAGATGCTACCAGGTTCCACCCAGTATTGGCCTTCATGCTATGTTAGCCTTTGTGGGTGTTTTAAGAAACATATTACTTCCACATCATAAGGATGAGGAGACATAATACCAAAGTACCTGTTGAATTATGTTTAAGTCTTAAAAAGCACAGAAGCAATTAAATGGAGGGGAGAAACAAAAGGTAAGACCTTCAACGTATAAAGGAGAATGGATTATTTAAACCAGGATTCATTTTTCTAGTCAAGGTTAAGAAAACAAACAGGCTTTTTTTTTTTTTTTGCATAATAGGAGGAGGAAAAAGAAGCCTGATGTGTTTTGCATGCATATTGAATGGAATGGGTGAAAGTCAATGGCTGAATGCAATAGCACCATCTGCTGTCCAGAAGCTGACCTTCACAAAACAATACCATATTATTGTATTACTGCTGTGAGGCTGGATTCCAGAATAACCTTAAGCTCCTCTTATTTAACTTCAAGAGCCCTGGAAATCTCTAAGATGTTTAGATACTGAAATTATCATAATTAAATGTGGTATTTATAAAGCTTTTCTCTTACTGGTGTTCAGGAAATGGGTTTTGTTGGTGGCATTTTAAAATAACCAAATTTTACAATGGAAGTCTAGTTTCTCTGATCCAAAATATGTAAAATAAAAAAGGAAAATCAGAATAAATCGTGTTATTACACTTTTTTCATATTTAACTAACCCTTTAAAAATAAAGGTAGTTTTATTAGTGTCATATAGGCATTTAGCCTCATTTCATTAGGTTGAAAATAGTTGCTTGAAGCAGCTTTGCTTATGATAGCAGCAAAAATGTATGGAGAAGCTTGTAAACAGATTTGCTCAATGCATCTTAGTAGGGATAGAGAGAAAAAAAATTCAATCAAAATTAAGCAATTTCCTATGGGGAAAGACTATAGCAATTGGAGCTTAGACTGAAAGGAAGGAGGTATGGACAGACATGATGGAGGGATATTAGATCATGAATGGCATAGACAACATAGTAAAATATTTTCTATGTCTTCTTGACAGTATTAGAAGTTTAGTTTACCAACTGAAAGTAAATGCAGGAAGATTCAGATTTTTTATAGAACATAGTTAAAGTTGGTGACATTAGCAATAACATCACAACAGCTTTTAAAAGCTACTGTTGAGATTTATGAAAGGTCAGACTAGTAGCTGCTAGTCATGCTAGGTAGCTGTCTACAAGATGCTGAACCACAGATAGATTTAGATATTCGTCTTGGTCATAGAAAGCAGCTCATCCTCCAATCGAGACTTCTGGGCACCCCATATATATCCTGTTGGCCACAAAATTGTTTTATGGCTTGATGCAGCATGGACCTTTTTAGTATCTGTTGGAGGAAGGGCTTCAACCTGAAAACCTATCTCTTTACTCTGTAGGTTTGCTGTTTTCTGAATATTTTCCTAGATAAATCTTCTTTATATCTGTCATTCAATGCACAGATCTCTAATATTCTTCTGTTTTTTGCTTGTGTCTCCTAACACTCCTAATATGTGAGCCCTCTCTCTCTCATTCATAGCTATCCACCTTTGTCAGTGAAAGTAATGAGTTATCAGGGATAACATTAAGCTAAATGAATGCTGAGACATTTACGATCCCAACAAAGTATTATCTTTCTTGCTCAGTATGAAGTGTGATTGAAAGTTAAGAGTGGGTCAGAATTTAGGACTGGCATATAAATACTCAAATATTCTGAGATGATAAATTCTTAATCTAATTCATACATTGATTTATTGTATATATTAAGTGAAGTAATGCAAAGCTAAGGAGGGTCTTAAATTTAATACTATGGGGATTATATGTTAAATATTTTCTTCACAGTAGTATAAGGATACATACAAACTAGTACCAATTTATCTGGGCAGCCAAAGCAGCAAGTAAAATAAATGTAACCAACCAGATATTCAGCTGTTGCATTAGAATTAAAAAGTATCATTGGATAAAGCATATTAAAAAAAACAAAAAGCATTATTTTATTTTACCAACGGATCTCCTTCTGATTCCATCTGTGGAATGTGCTTTGAAGTGGTTCCTTCTTTGGCAGATGCATAACCTTCATAACCAACATCTTCAGGTCTTAACTGAAGTAATGATGACCAATCATGTTGCAATGAACTCCATGGACAAGTCTCTACTATCCACTTTGAGGGGTCTTCCCAAGGTGCACGTTTACCATACATCTAAATATATATCCCAAAAGAAAAGTAAAAATGTCTACACTTATTTTATTAAAAGACATTTTAGAATGGCCATGATGACCAAATTATTAGAAAGTATTCACCCTGAATGCCCCACCATGCTACAAAATAAGTTATGATTAACAAATAATCTGTTCAGTTTATAAGAACATCTGGTCAAAAAATTGGATTTATATAACTTATAGTGATACCAAGAAATAATTATGACACATATGTTTTGGGTCTCTGCTTCATAGATATGTTTTTGGTGTCTGTTTCATAGATTCTTAGCCATTATAACATGTTTACCCCCCCCCCTCCAGTTTATATATTCCATTTGACAATATATAACAAGGTTATACTAAAATTGGTTTGCTGCCTCAATGATTAGCAACATTCAAGTGAGGTATTTCTATTAATGAATTGCAAAATTCTACAAATGAGAATTTTAAATATATCATCAGAATATGTTTGCATTCCTTTGGAGATTTTTTTTTTGATCCAAGGAAATTATTTATAGGCACAGTGATGTCGATGGTTGAAATGATTAGGGCACAGATTGTAGGAAGATTTAAAAATTAGATTAAACTTCCCATTCATGGCAAATGATTGTTTCTGTAAATCAACTCCTAGAAACAATAATGAAATTCACTGCCCCAAGGACTCAGATTGCTGGTTGGTTAGGAGTCCTACCTGAAGTCCTTCTCTCACCGCTTCCATTACATATGGCACCAAAGAATAATTCCAGAGATCAGTAAACCACACTCTAGAACCATCAATATCAATAGGACAAGGTAGAAAGAGGCGAGGACCTAAAATAAAAAAAAAATTTAAAAAATGAGATTACATTTAGTGATGTAAGTAGTTTTTTGCTCCCTTTATATGAGGAGACATAAATGTAGAGAGACATAATGTTATCTCTGTACATTATGTCTCCTTCGTATGAAAAAATTGGGTGACATAAAAGAGAAGGGCACATCTAATTCAAGTTGTTTTATTGTCAGATAGATACAACAGATATACTGTTTGTATCAGTGGTGGGATACATATTTTTACTACTGGTTCTGTGGGCGTGGCTTGGTGGGCGTGGCAGGGGAAGGATACTGTAAAATCTCCAGTCAGAGGTGGTATTTGCTGTTTCTCCAAACTACGCAAAATTTCCGCTACCGGTTCTCCAGAACTGGTCAGAACCTGCTGAATACCACCTCTGGTTTGTATGCTATTCACTGCATATTAGTGATGGCAGCCATTTTTTTCACAAAGCACAATGACATTTTTTTGCATTAGCCTTTTCAGCCACATGATTAAAAAAATACATTTATAACTTCTGGCATTTTATGAATGCTGAGACACAGAAATATTGGTAATGTATTTCTAAAGACCAATTATTTCATTGGTTCCAGATGCCCTTTGTTTAAATGGCAGAAATAATTCTGAAGACATTTCATCTGTAAACAAGGTGACTGTTTCTTAGATACACTAAACCGCAGCTCTCTGCCTTACTTGTCAACGTTATAGCAACTGCCAGCTGTTACATGGCAACTGCCAAAACAGGTTGTGCCACTTAAGGAAATTTATAGAAAGAAATCAATTAAAAGAAATACTTTTGAAACATAAAATTATCTGAAAGATTCTTTAATCTGTACTTCAGGGAGGTTTTTTTTTTCTTGTGTGTGTGTGTGTGTGTGTGTGTTTGTGTGTGTAAACATGCAAATGGAGTTTCCACTGCACTTAGGGCACTATTTATCACATCATTACTTAACAGATTTGTCATGACAGAAGAGGGCTTTTGAGTAATACCTGATCTTGGATTTCTTGAGAGATTTGAAAGCATTTTAGACCTTTCTGCCTTCTCTGCTTCTTATTACTCTTATTACTTAGACCTTTCTGCCTTCTCTGCTTCTTATTACTGCTGCTTGCTGATCTAATCCGATGCCACATTAAAATGTACATTATTAATGGCATCAAGAAATATGAAAATCCAGAATTAAAATAAAAACTGTGATGGAATATGTTCTTCAAGAACATGCATTTTATTTTATTTTTTAAATTTTTAAATATTCTTGTTTTGTTCTGAATTTTCTCTTCACATTAGTTAGAACTAAGTCTTTTGACAGTGGAATGGGATAAGAAAGTGTAAGTTCAAGGCTAAGGTAGACTAAGATTAATAACAATAAACGGCTTTGGGTTCTTCATTAAGTACAAATTTCATTCCAGAAATCCAATTCATATCCAATAATACCATGTTTGCAAGCACAACTCTATTTTTTTTACTTTGGGCATAAAAGATAACCTATTGGTTATTTTGCTGAACACACTCATAGTATAGTTACACAGTATGATACAGTGGTGTAATTCAATTATTTTTACTACCGGTCCTGTGGTTGTAGCTTGGTGGGCGTGGCAGGGGAAGGATACTGCAAAATCTCCAGTCAGAGTAGTATTTGGCAGTTCTCTGAACTACTCAAAATTTCCTCTACCAGTTCTCCAGAACTGATCAGAACCTGCTGAATACCACCTCTGGTATGATAGTTTCAAAGGTTAGTTTTAACTCTTAATTTTCATTCTTAACTGTAAAAGATCTTACCAATCGTTATATCAGAAGAACTGTGTGTTTCTAAGAAGCTGTTGAGATGATGCCATATCTTGGGAATCCAGTCAATAATTTTGATGAGATCATTATTACGGATATTCTTCTCCAGCTCTGTTTCAATCAGTTTCCTTCTCAAATATCTGGATAACAGCCCTTTAACAGGCTCTGTGTGATTAGCACACAGCACCCATCTATACACAAAAAAATAAAATAATGGAATCTAAATGTAAAGATTGAGGTCATCCAATGAAATCTTATAGGTGACCCAAACCGAAAAGTGCTTTTAAAAACCTATTGTTAACCTACAGTAACTGTTTCCATGAGTTGATGTGATAGCCACCAATCATAAATTCCTAAAAATGAAAGATTTGATCACTGTATTTAAGATATAGCTTTTAATCTTTTTTAAGGCCAAAGAGAATCTTCTTTGTTCACAGACCATCTCTCTCAGTGCCTGAAGTTAGCAATTAAACACTGAAGATGGATAATGACTGTATGTCCTGTTTGTGAACTTGCCTTTGGCATTTAGCTAGCTGTTATCAGTAAATAGATTTTGAGCTAGATTATTGTTCTGTCACAGGATTACATTTATATCTCTAGCTAATAATATATTGTTTCTTTTCAACTATGTCTTGAGGTCAATGATGAAGAAAATTGCTATTAGAACTTAATATATTTAGTCTTTTCTGCTATTTTGTGATAAAAGCAAAATGGCACATTCAATTTGTAATGGTGACAGAAACAATCCTAAAAACAGCGATGTTATATTTTCATTCCATTTGACTCATTAAAAAAAATTGAAAGACTTTTATATGCTTTCTGATTTTATATAACCAAATGTGCAACAATTATGAATTTACTAAAACTTAGCCTAAAAGTTCTGAATTTGAGTCATATATAAATTTTAAACAGAAATAATTTTTACCTGAAATTTTGATGCAGTTCTAGATTAGGTGATGATGAAACTCCCTGGTTCATTGTTCCAATAATATAGGGACTTAAAACAAACAAATATGGATTTAAAAAACTATCTAGGAAAATTGAATAAGAACAAAATATTAACAAAAAAAAACATAAAATCAGCATTAAAATCAGCAAGGATGATCACAAAAAAAAGAAAAAAAAGAGAAAAAATTACTCTTTTAATCTCTGAATATATCAAAGGGAGAGCTTATGAAGTAATCAGAATGCCAAAGTAAACTGGGATTTAAGAAAACTCATTTTAACATTGTTTTAATATAAAATAATGTATATTTATATTTCAGAAAAGCCCTTTTGAGAGCACTTATGCTAGGTCTCAAATGTTTGCTTAAATGTATTCTTGAACTATGCTACCGACACCATTAGAGGAAGTGTCTGATATTAAACTGAAGCTACATTTGTTTGTTTTGTGTGTGTGTGTGTTGGTGCGCATGCCTGCCTGCCTGCCTGCCTGCCCCTTCAGGTCAGATTTGGAGTCCTGGCAATTGCCTGGCATAGTCCCTTTTTTGGAAAAGTTTTTTTAAAAGCTCTTGGGGCTGAGAGAGACTGACTGGCCCAGTGTCACCCAGTTAGCTTTCTGGCTAGGGTGGACTAGAATTCCATGTTAGTTTAGACTAATTTCTAACTGAGTGCCTTAACTACTAGACCAAACTGGCTCTCAGTTCAAGTTTGACACTTATTAATTTTTATCTCTTTCAAGTTTAAAATAACTTTCTATAAATTCTTCATCTGGCTGGTTTTTTTAAGTTTATTTCAAAAATTCTGTAGGTATGATATGAAGTAATTACTTTATCAAATGTTTACTAAAAGCAATTTAGCTATTTCTGTAATAAAATATTCTTACTTAACCATGAGGCTATATGGTAAAATGTATAAATACATAGTCTGCTTATTAATACACTTTCCACTTTCCATACATAATACAATACATTATTTATTTATGAGTGCAATTCTTGGCTAAAATTATATAATAGCACACAATTAACAGAATAACAAAAAATTACCTACTTTGTATCTGATCATAGGAACCTATTTATGAAAACTCAATGCACAGATTCATGCAGTTTCCTTTTTTCTTAAAATCACAGAGATATGTGCATTATAAAGACTAGACTTATTACTAAAACATGCAAGACTGATCTAGAGCAACTGCAGACTATTGTGTATAACTCAGTTTGAAACTGATATGATAAAATGTTTATTTCTGCTTTATGTTTTGGATTTAAGTTGGTTTTGTAACATTACCAGTTTTGAGGAGTGGAAGGATGTATAATAACAGACTATTCACCTGCATGAAAATATGAAATCAAAACATTTCTCAAACTTCACTGGGTCTATTCATAAACTCATCTCATATTCTGCCATTCATTGTACTAGCCTTCTTCAACACAGCACCCTACATATAAATTACAACTTCCTGCATTTATAAATGGAACATAAAATCCTGGAATTCTGAGACCTTCAATTCAATGTCTTTGAAAATTGCCAGAATTGGAAAGGTTGCATAGTATCAAAGAATCAACCTACCATTTGTTATATTTACAGTTAAGAAAACCATTGAAGATATCACTCAAAGAACCAACATGGTGCAGGTTGTCAAGAATTATTACCACAGGAAGATCAGAACTACTATTATCAGCATTGCACTGTTCAGCCAAATTAACAAGATATTGTTGAACATCCTTCAAAAAAAGAGAGAAGAATATAATAAGACAGGTGTATTTTCTATTGCCAACTTCACATTTATGTATCATTGTTAAAACTATGTGTCATGAAATTATTTTGGCAGTCTCAAGCAAAACAGTTTTGCCTAAGCATTTTCTTTATCCAAAACTTATATTTACAATACATTGTTAAATACATACAATACAAATCTAGTAAAATATTTAGGACTTTTTATTTGATTTTATTCAAATGCAGGAAGGCTATTTCATATAATCAGCAAATCCTGATCATGAAGTTTTCTTAATGGATAGAAGAACCTATGTACCTAAGCTGCATATTTATACCATTCTTTTAGGAATTCTAATAGCTAATAGACCTTATCTATCTATATCTATCTATCTATCTATCTATCTATCTATCTATCTATCTATCTATCTTTCTTTCTTTCTTTCTTTCTTTCTTTCCTTTTTTTTCTCTCTCTCTCTCTCTTTCTCTTTCTTTCTGTCTTCCTTCCTTCCTTCTCTCTCTGTTTCTCTTTCTGTCTTCCTTCCTTCCTCTTTCTTTCTTTCCACACGTTTTTGTTTATACACATCACAGTATTTAAATATACAAAACAGAAAATCAGTATTACTTAAAGTAAAAATTAAAGTCAGAATCATTAAAATAAAAAAATGACTAAAACTGAGAGTTTGACACAAGATTGTTGTCATTTTCCTAAATACCTAAAACCCAGAGAGTCAGTCTGTTGGAAAGAACATTCTCTAGCTTTGGGCATACTAGGTAGGTGAGTTTATGGAACAAGCTTTTTCTTCTAATTTCAATAATCAGGCAAGCTGCTATGAGGGAGAACGGAACTTTCAAATAATACTCTCAAATACTGCACAGTACTTGCAATAATTAGCAACCTAGTTGCTAAATTTTTCAACAACTGCAATTTCTTGATACTTTTCAAGGACCACACATACAAATGAATATAACTTGCTAAATCTATTTGACAGGTTTCTGAAGAACAATACCATGTTATATAAAGACATTCAACAACATATGGAAGAAGTGTAGCTCTGGTTATTTAAACTTTTTAAACTCCTACAATCTAAATCAAGGCAACTACTATATCTGTACAGTTGGATCCTAAATTACCAAGTGAGGAAAATTAAGTTGTAGGAAAGTGTGACTCTTTTAAAAGCAAATCCTCAACTTCTTGAGTTCTTCATTCCGTCGTCATAAGTAAATCATACAAGTGGATTTTAGTTTATTCACCCTCTTCCATTCCACCACAGCCTCTCAGGGAGATAACTGCTACATCTTAATCCAATATGAAAAAGATATAAAATGGATTCAAATACCTTACTCCAAATCCCTACAAAATTTATCTCAGTCATTTAAAATAATTTTTAGTATGTAAAAGAAAACAGAACCTTGTAAAACTCCATATATAACAGTTAAATAGTTGATTAATAAATTCCAGACCACTAATCTGGCAGTAATAATCAATAATTCAGATTATAGGCTCAGGATCCAAATGGATTTTGATTTTCTTGCTTAAGTGTAAATATGGATATTGAACACATATCCATGTCCAACAAAATGAGATTTAATATAGAGAAAATTAAGGTTTTACACTTAAGCAAGAAAAACAAAATATACAAGTATAGGATAGGTAAAACCTGCCTCAAAAGCAGTAACTGAAAGTGATCTTGGAGTCCTAGAGGGCAGTCACTTAAATATAAGCCAGCAGTGTGCAGCAACAGCTAAAAAAGCTAATGCAATCCTTGGCTGCATAAATAACCACTTCAGATCGTGTGAAATATTAGTATCACTTTATAAAATTTTAGTAAGACCACATCTAGAATACCACATCTAGTTTTGGTTAAGTCATTTTAAAAACTCTATAAAGCCTTAGTAAGACCACACCTAGAGTGCTGCATCCAGTTTTGGTCACCATATTATAAAAAAAATGTTGAGACTCTAGAAAAAGTACAGAGAAGAGCAACCAGGATGATTAGGGGACTGGAGGCTAAAACATACAATGAATGGTTGCAGGAACTGGATTTGGCTAGTCTAGTAAAGAGAAGGGCCAGGGGAGACATGATAGCGGTCTTCCAATATTTGAGGGGCTGCCACAAAGAGGAAGAGATCAAGCTATTTTCTAAAGCTCCTGTAGGCCAGACAAGGAATAATGGATGGAAACTGAACAAGGAGAGATTTAACCTGGAAATAAGGAGAAACTTTCTGACAGTGAGAACAATCAACCAATGGAACAGTTTGCCCTCGGAAGTTGTGGGAGTGCCACCACTTGAGACCTTGAAGAAGAGATTGGACTGCTATTTGTCAGAAATGGTGTAGGATCTCCTGCTTGGGTGGAGGGTTGGATTAGAGGTCCCTTCCAACTTGGATTATCTGTTACCTGTTAGAAGACATTGAGACTTTGCAGTGCAGAGAAGAGCAACTAAGATGATTAAGGGCCTGGAGACTAAAACATATAAAGGTATGTCTACTCTAGAGAAAAGAAGGTCTAGGGATAACAGGATAGCAGTGTTTCAATATTTAAGGGGCTGCCACAAAGAATTGGGGTGAACTTATTTTCCAAAGCACCAGAAGGCAAGACAAGAAACAATGGAAACGAATCAAGGAGAGAAGCTATCTAGAACTAAGGAGAAACTTTCTAACAGTGAAAACAAACAGTGGAATGGCTTGCCTTCAGAAGTTGTGGGTGTTCTTTAAGCACATATTCTATGTAAAGAACACACAAACACACACACACACACACACACACACATATGTTTTCGTAGATTTTCACAAGTATAGGTAGGCAGGTCTTGGTGTGTTCAGGACTTTTCCTGTGTAAGATTGAGAGTATCTTGGTGACATTTTGATGAGATCCCACTCACCATCTTCAGGCTGGTGCTTTCGACTTCGTACTTGTGCGAGCAAAGCGTGATTGGAGCTGCCATCTCTCTATAAATACTGGTGGGGAGGTTGGCTGTATTGCCATTTCTTGATTGGTTGATGGAGTCGATGTTTGCAGATTGGCTGGCTTTTTCATAAGAACATATGTGGTTGAGGTATTGGCTGTATGTCTATCAGCCTCCTGTGTTGTAACAACCTGGTAATGGGCTATGTGAGTTTTATTGTTTTGACATCCTGGGTCTTGTATTGTAATCTCCTGGGTTGTAATGACCTGGATCACGGGCTGTGTGATAACCTTCTAGTTCTATTGTTGTGACATCCTGGGTCTTCTGCTGTAATCTCCTGGGTTGTTGGCTGTGTAGTAACATCCTGAGGTTTTGTGGTATAACCTCCTGAGTTCCGTGATGTGAGCAGGTGGCTGTGATGTGACGTTCTGGGTTTTGGTTTCGCTCTGAGTTTGAGGCCTGGCTATGTGTTCATGACATGTGTCAGTTTGCTTGGTTTGGGGGTCGGGGTGTGTGGCAGCTAGTGATGCAGCTGTGGCCTGGTTTCTGGGTGGTGGTTGCCTTTCGTCTATGGGCTTGAGTCTGTGAGGGAGATTGGTGGTGGCGTCATGCGTTGTTTTGGGTCTGGTGTTCATTTTCATGGCTGGGACTCATTTGTTGATAAGGGCTAGTTTCCAGATGTCTGGTAGGTGGGACGTCCCGTTTATTCATGTTATGGGGGTGTTTCTCTATTTCTCTATTTCGATGGCTTCCCTGATTATTCTCTTGTTGAAGTGTTCAGTATTGGAGATTGATTTGGTTCCCTCAAAATTAATTTCATGTCCTGTGGCTTTAAGGTGCTGGAAAAGGGAGGAAATATTTTCTTCTTTTCTGACTGCATTCTTGTGTTCTGCGATGTGTGCATTTATTCCCCTGTTGGTTTGTCCAATGTATGTGGCTGGGCAATTGTTGCATGGTATTTCATAAACTCCTTGGTTTTCTAGCTGGATCTTGTCTTTGGGATTTCTTAGGATGTTGGCTATTTTTTGGTCAGTGCCAAAGGCTGGAGAATTATGGAGAATTTTGCTGATTTTATCTGTGGTGCCTTTGATGTAGGGGAGGAGGACAATACCGTTGTCCTGTTCTGTGTCTCGGTTTCTGGGGAGTGTTTCCTTTAGGATTAGGTTGGTAATTGTGTTTCTTTGGAATTTGTTGGAAATTAATACGTTAGTGAGGGTGTGTAATTCTGTTCTCAGGTGGTCTTTGTCAGCTAGGCGTTTGGTTCTGGAGATGAGGGTACTCTGTAGCCAAGACCCTCATATATATATATATATAAAGAGAGAGAGTGAGTGAGTGTTGTGGGTGTTCCGTGTAATTTTTAAGAAGAGACTGGACAGTCATTTGCCTGAAATGGTATAGGGTCTCCTGCTTGAGCAGGGAACTGGGCTAGAAGACCTCCAAGGTCCCTTCCAACTCTATTATTCTGTATTCTGTATTTTCCAAGATTAGTTGGGATGTGATGATTGCAAGGACAATGTATTCCTTATGTGACCCAGATAGTACTGTGTCTAACTATATAAAAAGTCAAATATAAACCAGCTGGATCACATCTTATTGTGAAGCGTAAGTGTGGATACTCAAGAAAGCAGGAGCAGCAAAGATGTATCATTTCCCTATTTTATATTAGGCATATCAGATTAAACAATATGTCAGATAAGAAGGACAAAATTAGCACAAAATGGCAAAATGAATACAAATATGCTGTGGCAAATCATTACAAATATGAATATATGAAAGTAGCAAGTAAAATGTCACTTATTATCCAGTAAAAACATTAAAAATTCAGTTATTACCTAATTCTAATACAAAGAAGGAAATATGCTACTTTTTAATGTGTATAATATTGATAGCTTTTTTCTGAAGTCTTACCTTGCTTGATTTGTGATCAACAGTAAAAGTAATAATGGCATCTTCCATTTTTTTCCGGCCAGATTTTGTTATCAGGTATTCAGCAAGTTTGTTGGCTAAATAGGTCTTTCCAGTGCCACTAGGTCCTGATAGGATAATCCTGTGATGTTCCATCAGTAGATTAAAGTACCGTTGACTAATTGGTTTAGGAATTAATGTATCAAACACAAAGCTATCCAAACTATTTTCTTCTACTCCTGACAACAAAAACAAAACAAAAAACAAGAAGTAAAACAGGGGAAAAACATCCTATTGATTATGTCATTTTGGAGAAAGTATGGAATCATTTAGTGAAATATTTTTTCATATTTTTTTTAAAAAGTAAATTCATTGAATATTAATGTAGCAACATGGTTAGATAAGCACTTGCAATCAAAGCAAATGTGAAGTGAAAACTAGGTGAGGCAGCAAGGCATATCTGAAATGTCTTAGACACTTAGAAAGGTCAAACTGATTACAGCATAAGTTAGCAGATCAGAAATATCTCTGTAAATCACAGACAGTTTGTTTGAAAGGCCCACACACTGTCCACATGGTTGAAATATTTGATTCAGAATCCGAACTCCTCATTCTTCAATATTTATTTATCCTGTTTATAGGTTTGTCTTCATTTAAAATAAATAAAAAATATTACTAAGTATGTATGAGATTCTCACAATGAATTTAACATTAATAAGTAATTTTAGATGGTGTTAAAATAGGAAGCATCAGTGGAGAAGTGGTTGAGGCGATAAGGCCTATGTTTGAAATGTAAAGGATAGATCAGCTCTGTCTCATATTATGTGGCTATGTCCAGTCCATTAACAACAAACATATTTGCCTGTGGTTGTCCCAAATATATGTTTGGACTGGTCAATGTTATTTTTATTTGAATTTCCTGAATCAGTATATAGATTCCGAGATTCTGTTCTTTACAATATGATTCTTAGCTCACAAAAAAGTATTAAAAATGAAATGTCTATTTTCATTTGAATAGCTAAGTAATAATGAATCTTAGACTAAAATTCATTGTGTTTGTGTATGTATGTAGTCACTGATGAAGATATGCATTTATGAACCAACACTGAAATTCACATAAGTAATATTTGTCATATTTACCTCTGGAAAACTAATTTGTGGAAATCTTGTGTAGAAGAAAAATGGCCATTATCAGTTCCAGACTGTTTTAAAAAGCAGCCATCTCAAGTATTGTATACCAGGACAGATTTACCAGGTTGCTTAATATTTTAATTATTCTAACCTGTACCAGGTCAGTTAATACTTATAGTCTGTTGTTCCTGAAATGTTCTCCTTCAAACTGGTATCCAACAATTGTATTACTTTATTTTAAATTATTACTTTTATTTTTACCTGACTTTTTATACTACTTAAAAGTGCAATTGATCGCTTAGTAGTTTTTTTTTCCTACTCTTCTGAACAGTATATTATGAATACAACATTACAGTGTATGCAGAAGAACAAGGGAATAAATTAAAGGTGTGTTTTACCTTTAAGATTCACTGTGATTATGTTATTATCTCCAACCAGATATCCACAAGGTAGCAGTTCAGGCACTTCTTGGTTATGGGCTCTAATTATATCACCTACGCAATAATTAGCTATACAATCTGAGCTCAAACCAAGGCTAGTAGCTGGATCTACTCGGAAAACATATTCCTAAAATAATAATTAAAAACAACAAATGGAAACTTTCATAGTTTGCAGTATTAATGAATGAATTATTAACCTACTGGTTCATATACCATTCTCATTACCACAACTTGTAGATCAAAAATATACATTAAGCTTAAATAGAAATGTCAAAAAAATAATAATTCAAAAATGTCTAATATTTCTTGTTGGATTTTAGAAGACATAATTATAATTGTCTTGATTTCTATCTTTCAAAGTTTGTAATAATAAAACACAAGTATTTAAAAAATATCATCATAAAAACTAAAAACTAGAGAAAACCAGAAACTTCAATCTTCTTAACTTATGAAGAAAATAGTTCTGGCCATTTGGCCAGTTTATCACATGTGCAAATGAAGTTCAATTTACCCTAGCTGCATTTAGGTAGTTCTATGAAAGTAACAAGTTTTAATCTAGAGAAGGGGTGTCAATCTTGCAGAGTCATGTTGTCGTCACGTGACGTATCGTGACTTTTTCCCCCTTCTCTAAAACAGGGATGTGCATAGCCAGCATGTGATGCATCTGGCCTGCGAGTTTGACACCCCTGATCTACAGGCTATCTTACAAGTCAGCCTTCTAAAAGCTTAGAATGTAAGGCCCTTTAAATCTCACGTGGCAGATTTTTCTAAGGAACTGCACAGCAATGGAAAAGATTTGCTTCGTCATTCCTTTCTGTCTAACTTTTGGAAGATGGCAACTACTCCTGATTGGACCATATAAGATAAAAACATTTCATTTAGATCAAAAGTTGACAGATAATCTGTAAACAAGGCATATAGGGTTTTATATGTGATAAGTAACAGCTTGAATGGGAAAAAAGAGGTAGCTAATGCAGCATCAGCAGTATAGTATAATCCTGTTTAAAAGGCTCTTGCCCATCACAGTCATGTGGCTGTATTCTATGGTCACTGAAGTCAAATTTTCAAATCATCTTCAAAGGCAGCCCCACATACAGCATGTTATAGTAATTCAAATGAGATTTTTTTTTGGCATGGCCCCATGCTAATACCCCAATCAAAGAACTACCAACTCAGACAAACAAATTAATAGTAAACAATCAAATCAAGGTATTACCGAGACCACTCCAACACTGGAGGGCAAGGCACTTCCATATAAAATGAGAGCAAAGCCCATTTCCTTCTAGCACTGATGATGTTTCCTAGTTTGATAATTAAATATTTGCAAGAAAACAACCAAGCTCAAAGACACCAAGGATCCCCCAAAAAACTAATGAACCCTAATCTCATGGACCCTAATCAGCTTAAGATGTGAAATCCATTTATTTAACTGATTGTGGGGAATGTCCTGGCTCCTCGTATATGTTTTTCTTTATTTACCTGTTATTTATTTTTTATGCTTAATAGATAATAAGAAACTATCCTATTAACTGGTTGCAAATATAAAACTAACATATTTGGTTTGTAAAAAACCTGGCCCACAAGTAGAGATCTCTGAGTCTCTTGGTTGACATCTAGTAATCATTTGGATTTTTGCAGGTGGGATATGGTAACTTCAAATCTCTCACAAAATCTGCTTAAAGCTCATTGTATTAAACTTGCAAAAACTTACCTTAAAGAGTCGTCTAATTACACCGTCCAATACATCCCATTTTGTTTTACCACTGACCCTGATAGAACCTATCAAATATGCCTGTATTCTTTGGTCCTATAAAGAGAGGAGATAAATGATACATAAAAGAAGTCACTTCAATACTGATACATTTTTTGTCAAGCTTCCCTGAGTGTTTTTCTGCAGAGAAAAATAGCATTTTTATGTTACAGATAGAGACCAAATATGTTGCAGATTTTATATTAAAACATTTCTTGACAGCAATATCTTAGACTTATATACTGTTTTACAGTATATAAGTCACAATGCTTTACAGCTCTCTCTAAACAGTTTACGGAGTCAGCATATTGCCCCCAACAATCTGGGTCTTTATTTTACCAACCTTGGAAGGATGGAAGGCTGAGTCTCACCTTGAGCCTGGTGAGACTTGAACTGCCAAATTGCTGGCAATTGGCAGTCAATAGAATTAGCCTGCAATGCTACATTCTAACCACTGCTCCACTTCTGATACAATTATAAATGTCCACATTTCTGTAAATCACACATAATTATACCAAAATGGCAATAAATGTCGATGATGCCAGTGTAAGTACAGCACAAGAAAAAGGAATTCTTTCAATATTATTTGTTGCAGTCTAATCTGAATAAATCGTTGATTAGAACAGAACACCCTCTATAGCAACAGTAGCATTTACAGAAAGATAATTAGGATAATAAAATGGCAAGAAAAGTTGGAAGCCAGAATACCTTTGATCGACCATAGCCCTTGTTTATTGTGACAATAATCTTAACATTCTGGCCTTCTTTATGGAGAGTTCCATCTGCAACATCTTCCAGTAAAATATCTAAGCAAGCAAACCATAAATAAATGATCTTTAAAAATAAAGTTAATTCCTGTGAATATATTCTGTAAAAGGCTGTGATTATAATGGTCTATGATTATTATTTTTTGCTGACAAAAGCAAAAGAAATATACATATTTGGAATATTTGGAATCTTTGATTTGGAGTCAGATTCCAACTCAGGATGTCGGAATGTAATATGTGTAAAGAAACATTTCCAATTCTATGTGCATACTTATCTACTTAATGAGGATCATAAATGGATTGAAAGCCATTTCCCTGTGTGATTGATTGTTCAAACTGGTTACAGTATTAAGATATTAATCAGCATGTTGCATCCATTTGCAGAGTTCCATTGAGTGCCAAGACAAAAATAATTAACATTTCAATGGTACTCTTATATGGTTGAGAGTAGAAAACAAGAAAAAGAAAAGGAAAAAAATATGTTAAACAGATACTACATCATTGAGGAAAGATGAGAATCATATGCAAGATGAAATCAATAATACAAATAAAATTCATCAATTATCTTCAAGTACTTAACAAGGATGAATAAACTGAAAATACATAGTCATATTCAGAGCTGAAGAAACTTCTTGGATGAGAACTGAAATGTCTTCAAAGAAAAATCAAAAAGTCGAGTTGTCTTTTGAAAAAGTACCTTTAGGACAACCATGATCTGGATGACTGAGAATCTCCATAGAGTTTCAGTTTGGTAAACAGCATAGTAAAGAAAGTTTGTTTTTCAAGTATGACAAAAAGGTTACAATTTTCTTGAAAGAAAATTACTCTGGATCAGAGTTATCCATTTGTTTTAGAGAAAAAAAGTTTTTGGCCTAATTTCCTTATTTTAGTTGCCTTTTTTGCATGATATCAAATATTTAAATCCTTGACATTTGTATTTTTGAAGCATCCATCATTTTAGAAAACTAAAATAAAACAGTAGACCCAAACCTACTTAAAGGGTTGGGGTTAAAGGTATATATATTTGGATTGTTTGGGACTTGAATCCAAATGTACCCTTAGAAAATTCTGAATCCTTAAAGCTCAAGCCCAAGATTTCCCAATATCTGAGAAAGTACTCTCCAAATGTGACCCCACAAAAGAAGAAAATATTCACAAATAAGTTAAAAACTGCTGCTAAGTTCTTATTATTAGTATATGTACAATGAAAAAAGAACATGAATATATTAGATAATTAAAATACATATGGACACACAGATATAACACACATATGTAAGAAAAATATATATATACACATTTAATTATTCAATTTCTATATACAATATTTTGCTGTATATGTATTGCATACACATAGATTGTATACAGAGCTATATTCTGTTGATGGAAGAAGCTTCCCTCATAGAAAGCTATGAGCTCATAGAAGCTACCTCAAGTGAAAGCAGGAAACACTCAGCCAATACTACTGTTGCAATACAATAGAAAGAAACAACAAAAATGTAGGATTTCAATTTTCCTTTATACAACACAGGATTATTTCATTTCATATTAATTTTCAAAGTTGTAAACCTCATTTATATAATGAGCACCTTTCCAAATTTAATTACATTTCCCTGTACTTTGACAATAAAATTATATTTAGGAAGAAGTCTGTAAGTGTGGGGTAATGTGTGAGGAGAGAGAAAGAGAAGTGTTCCTTGATGCAAGAATATTTGTTAAGAGAATAAAGCTTTTACTTACCAGATGTAACTAAATCTGTGATATTTAAGTTATTCAAAGAGAGACCTAGAGATTGTCGTGAAGAGGAAGAAGATGTGCTGCTTGAGGATTCTGAACATGGCCTGATAGGTTTGCTAGTGCTTCCAGTCTCAGCCTTCAAACGATCATTCTCAGCTTTCAAAATCTCAATTTCATTCTAACATTTAAAATACAAGTAAGAAACAATTGAATAATCGAAGCAGAGATTTCTAATCTTTCTGGCATAATATGGATAATGATAATTTAACCATTGAGATCAAACAGTTAACAGAGGTGCAAAAAATATGGAAAGAATTTTCATTGGTATTGCAGCTAGAACTTTGAGGCTATCATATAATTATGGTGATGGAGCAAAATAATATCTATCTAATATCATGACAATTAGTCTCGCATTTAATTAAGATAAATCCAAGTGGTAGTTTTTGTGGGAGATTTTATGTAATTAAAAATAGACTTAAAGAACTAAATCAAATTCAGATTAAAGATCTCTTTCCTTCCATTGAAAACACCAATTGCAGATGAAGGCTGACTCGCTATATCAGGGGTGTCAAACTTGATTTTATTGAGGGCAGCATCAGGGTTGTGTTTGACCTCAGAGGGCTGGTGGGCATGGCCATGTGGGTGTGGGCAGGTGTGGCCATGGTGGGCGTGACACGGGACACCTGGTGGGGCCACCAAGGTGGCCAAGTGCTAAGGCAGGACTTCCCTGAGACCCCCCCCCTCATTCTCATTATAATCTCCTTCCTTCCTTCCTTCCTTCCTTCCTTCCTTCCTTCCTTCCTTCCTTCCTTCCTTCCTTCCTTCCTT